AATTTATAAAGTTTTCAAGATTAAAACATGGTCGATTTTATTATTAATCCCATGATTCTGACATGTTTTAAATATACTCCTGCCACACAGATAGAGGCGGAATGATCATTGTCCTGCTTACAACAGATATATCATGTCAATGTAGAATCTGAAAGAAAGTGTAGTTTATTCCAATATGGCAAAGAATACCGGCTATCGACCTAAAGAACGATGCCTTTTTGAACAACTTTCTAAGGGAAATTGGCTTGTATATGCATTACGTATGAGGAAAACTAGAAAAATCAACCATGCAGCCAGCCCTTTAACCATGATATGAAACCAGATCAAACTACCAGTAGTCAATGGTCTTAACCAGTTGTAGGAAAAATCTGAAGAAAATGCTTGCAATATCATGTAATCAGAAATTAACTATGTGTTGCATAGCAGGGTTACTTTTTCAAGTGTCGAGGTAGAGAATACTTTTTTTTTTTTTTTGTTTCTTTTTCTTTATATAGGTATTTGTCCATGGTATTCATTACATATATTCTCTGTCATTCACACAGAATACAGTCAAAAGTCTATAATCCGGACTCGTTGGAACTTCGGAGATTGCGGATTATCGGTTTTTCTGGATTATAGATCATCAGTTTAAATCTGGTAAGATGGCATGCAGAAATTATAAAATTAAAAATATGAAACTGTAATTTATGAAATAAAGAGCAATTATGAACTAAAGGGTGTCAAAATTTACAAAAACAAAAAAAAAAAAAAAAAAAAAAAAAAAAAAAAAAAAAAGGCTTAATATTTATTTGTTTATTAAACATTTCTTTCAACACGCGCATGTGTAAAGCATACATTACGCATAGTCGAAATTAGAAAATTGCAACCAGAAAACTATTTGATGTGTATTCATGATATTTATAATGACGAGGAATTTGATTTAAATCATATCAAAGACGGAGTACATCGTGATGAAATACTACATTTAGTTAGGAATTATAAGCCAAATAAAATAAAAACATCTGCCCTGGAGATAAGGATAGTGCTGACAGATCAACTTCCAGTTCATTCCCCCCCCCCCCCCCCGCATTGTTCCCCCTTCCCCGCACAGGAGCACGAAATTAATAAACAGATTTTGGAATGGTTAGAGAAACAAAGGATATGCCTTCATCCATTTTTTGCAGCAATTCCACTTTTTGTTTGATGGACACCGAAACATGCTTTCGCTTTGTAGATCCTTTGGCAGCTCCAGAATCGGAAATTATTTTTTACATAATCGAAAGTTCAAGCTTACTTTTATAAAATTGCTCTAACAGTCTGCAAAAAATAATAAGCCCGATCCAATCAGCATATTAAGGAACAATGCAATCTGCAACATTAAGTGAAATAGATAATTAGATAATTTTAGCTTAGCTTATACCATCCGTTATACATTAAACTTGCATGCGTAAACGTATTATGCGCATGCGTAAATGCATATGCGCATGTGTAAATGCGTTATGTGTTTATGCATGCGCAGAAAGTTTGTGTCTTTGAGACCCGAATTATAGATCATTCTGGGTTATGGACGTCCGGACTAAAGACTTTTGACTGTACTAAGATTTTTAGTAAAAAGCGTCTTTTTCATTAAGTGCTTTGCTTGTCGATATTCTCAAAATTATGTTTAATAATTAGTGCTACTGTACATATAATAGATTAATGGATTCATTACTATATAACACATTTAAAACATTCATTTTACACAAGCAATTTTTCAAAGTTGTTTTTTAAAATTTACTTGCTGATAGCTTAAAATATTTTATTTTGTAACAACTGCCTTTTTTATAATAAATTTGACAATGCCAAGAATTTTCAATAATATTCAAATCCTTTAAAGTAGCATTGTAAATAAAACTAGAATAAACATTATACATCTTTTATCTTTCAAGAATCATTCAAACTTTGATTAATTACTCAAAGTGGTGGTTTATTAACTTTGATGACCCTGGAAATACATAAAAGTATTTTGTTATCTCAGAAACCAATAATAATTTTTATTTCATTCTAGTCATCTATTGTATATAAACACCTAACATCCTCTGAAATGTAATTGTTAAAATGCTTTAAAAATATATCAAATTTTTAAGCACGAAAACTGATTAAATTCTTATTATTTTAGGTAAAAATAACAGTAATAAAAATAAAAACTTTTTTTAACGTATATTATAGTGGCCCACGTTAATCATAATATTTTAGGAGCCCTATGGTTCTGTGTGTTTAAAGTCTTTTAAAAATTACGTAAGAACACAGCCATACTATTCTAAACAGCTGTGTTATATTCACCCCCCCATCCAATTTTCACCACCTCATCGGGTAGTGACGCACTGGTAGCCAGCGGCAAAATGGAGTCTCGAGCAGACGAGAAATATTGTCTAAAAGCAAACCAGGTTTCTACCTCTCGCTGGGTTACCAGCTTTGAACTTTATCGCCATTTTTGGCAATGTTTACATTTAACGGATCCTTTGCGGAAGTGCTTCCTTTTTTTGTTCTAAAATTTGATATGTGTTTTTCTCATGAATATGTATGTCCAGAGAATATCAGCGACTTGTGGATATCGGCTGTGCAAGAAAATTTGGTGAAAGTGCAGAATCGCCCACTGCAATCAAAGAATTGCACAAACTTTGTGTCCATGTGCACATCAATCTGTTTTTACTTAAAAAAAATCCTAGAATTGCACAACTAGGCATAGCGCACTGCCTTAAATTTGTCCATGTACACAACAATCTATTTTCATTTAAATAAAATCTGGAAGCTACAACAAAGTTAAAACTATCATGATAACCAGAAGTGAGGTTTCATCACCAAAATTAAAAAAAAAAAAAAAAAAAAAAAAAAAAAAAAAAAAAAATTGTCGCTAGTCGAAGGGGCACCCAATTCTACACTAGAGCTGCCAAATGAAATATTGCACCAAGGTGGTTGCATTAATACATAACTATCAATATAATTTTATCAATCCTGTTATTGGTTGGCTTAGCACATTGTTGAATGATTATGGGGCAGTGTGAAATGACAAAATAAACATTAATATGGCACTGACCATAACGAATTAAATTCTTATTTAATTGAGTTTATTCGGTGGCACCAGTGTCCTAAAATGCATATATTTTCAGATATTTTTAATTATACGCAGTTTCATGCCTCTGAGTGAAATTCAGTAACGGATTTTTTTTTCCTTCATGATTTCTTTGGCAAGTTGTTTATTTTATATTGAAAATTTCTGATTTTAAGAATATCTGTTATGTTATTTCCCTTGGATGTTTTTTGAACACAACCATACTGTAAAATATTATGGCAATTATTTTTATTTTTCGAATTTTTTGTCAGATTGTCCGCTTTTGGCGGCAGCTGAATTCAGTTCTGATAACTGAGCAGTAGTGGAATTTTATAAAAAAATTAAAAGATTAATAAAATTTCAAATGCAAGAAATAGCAGCTAAGAATCAGGCATTAGTTTGCTTCCTGGTCTGCAGGCCATAGTTCATAAAAATTTTAATGGACTTTGAAAATACAGGATAAAGAGAATGTCAGTTTGCGTTGGCTTTTCTGTGATTGTATTAGACTGTCATAAAATTCAGCAGTTAGAAGGAAAAAGTTCAGTCTGACCTTGGCCGATAGTTAAGAAGAGTTTATTCTTGTTAGCAAGATGAAAACAATCATGATGTACATAAATCCATTTTAATATTTAGGAGACTTTGTTCTCCGAATGCATTAATGAAAAGAAAAATTGGGGATTATTTTTTAATTTTCAGAATTTGGCACTAAAAGGCGAGGAAGTATTATATTTCATTCAGGGTTGACAAGCTGCTTGGAAAACTGTAAAAGGTCGGGGAATTTGAAAATTGACCCCAAAAAAGTCAAGGAATTCAAATATTTTAGTTTAAATCTGGAAAAGTTAGGAAATTTCATACTGCAATCCCAACATTGGATGTTCGTGCCAATGTAGTGTTTCTTGGCGAATTGTGCATCGCATGAGCATCATTCGGAAAGTTGGTGTAGAGTCAATTTTCGCAGCACCAATCAAAATTATTAGAGTCTTCTAGCAAACATTATTACTGAAGAATATATAAATTGTGATGCCAGTTTAATGGCAACTTGTGGGCTTCCTGAATACCTAAAATATATAGAAAGCATCAATGTGTACAAATCAAGGGAGTGCGCAATACCTAGTTTGTGCAATTCTCTGATGTTTTTTTAAGTGAAAATAGGTTGATGTGTACATGGATAAAGTCAAGGGAGTGCACAGTGCTGTTTTTGTGCAATTCTAGAAATTTTTTTAAGTGAAAATAGGTCGATGTGTACATAGATACTGAGTTTGTGCAATTCTTTGTCTTTTTATTTTAGCTTTTACACAAGCCAAAATTACAAGTCAAAAAATTGCGCAAACTTGGTATCCATGTACCGCCAAAGATCACCAAGGGGTACCCGTAAATATTCTTTTAACAACAAATCCTGAAATGGGAACATTTTATTTAAATGTGGAAATGTTCAGTATAACATGTGGTCATTTTAGTTTATATGTTTCTGGAAAATCATCATTCAATTGATATCCAGTGTTTTGGTTACTTACAGTATGCTATAGTTTTATTTCAGCTGTTATTTCCTTGACTTTTGGCTTCTTAATGTGTTAAATGTATTAAAAATAAGCACTAACGTTAAGCACCAATTCATAAATTCAGCAGAAGAAAGTACAACTTTGCCTAATGATCTACAAAATAATGTGATTGTTGGTTATTTCAAATTTTATCCATGATAATTAAAAAAAAATGTTTGATTAATTTCAAAACAAAAACCTTTTTTTAGTAATTAAAAAAATTAATATACTCATTTTTAATAAAAAGTGTTAGCACTTAATTTGTTCTTTATTGAATAAAATTTGTATAATATTTTACTTGATTTAATAAGTTTTTTAAAAGTAATTTTAATTGAATTATTGAATAATATAAATTAAATTATTGAATTTAAAATTTAACTCTTTCTTTATAGTTGCTGGTTAAGGATTAGGTATGTCTTTGTATGATGGCTTGGGACTGGACTCAAAAGAGAAAGTACAGAGGGATCCTAAACCCGACCTTGGTAAATATATTCTAGTTCCAAGTTAAGGCTGTGATAAAAAAATTGAAGATAAGCCTAATCTGTTTCATGATTTAATAAATCAGTTCATGTAAATAGTAATTTTCTTTAGTTGTTGCTGTTAGTGTAGTGGGAAAATTAATAACAATATGAAATTTATATGTAAGAATTTTTATATTGTTTAGCAGAACTTTTAACTATATTTTTGATTTTTTAAATAACATTTGTGTATTTTTTTTTTTTTTTTGACAATTGTGCTTGCATGCCAAATTTTATATTCAGTTTTCTTATAACATACTGTATAACTTTTAAACTTTTAACATGAATTCTTAAATAGTGCACTAGCGTCACTTCTTATCTTTCTAATAATGTTTATTCTGTTTTTGTGCTTTAAAATGTTTAAATGATTTTATTCTTGTGATTTTTAACGTGTATTTTATACTTAATTCCGCTTTCAGTGGGTTGGTCCTCTGGAATTAAGCTTCTTCAGTCACAGTTGCAGCTGAAAAAAGCTGCTTTGACACAAGCTAAGGTATACAATGTAAATAATGATTTTACTCTTGAAATTTTTCCTTTCTTTGAAATACTTTTCATACATTTAATATTCCTCATCTTTTTGTTGTATAAAGTAATGGAATTAAAGAAGTTTTAGAACTCTTTAATATCAAGATAATTAGATTGATTATGCACAATAACCAAAGTTTTTTTATCTTATCTTATTTTTATAGTATAAGAGAACCAGTTTTATCCCCCAATAAACTTTAAATCGGATTTTAAAAAAGTAATCTGTTTTAATTTAAACCATTTCTTTCAAATTTAAATTGAGATGAAATGTTGGTAACTGTCAGAAGAAAAGAAAATTCCACTGAGGGAATTTTAATGACAATTTACTTAAAAAGAGAAGGGAAAAAAGGGAAGGCAACAACATTATATTCAGATGAAACTTATATTGTGTAAATTCTCTTTTTCCCACCCCAAGTCATTTTCACAAAAATTTTTCTGATTAATATTCATTTGATCTGAACTATTTTAATATTTTAAAGAGGCATGTACAGCATTTAATGAAGCCTTAACTAATGGTTAATACACTGACGGCAAAATTAAAGGAAAAATGATAAAAAGGTGCTTTATGTTAACTCTATTAAGTTAATCAACAAAAGGTAGCAAGCTGGTAGCTCAAAGTCAGTGTTATCATGTTGTTCAATGAGACTTACCTGCAGTATATCTAAGTATGCAAATTTTTGTGACTGTTGTTTTGGAAATGACCAAATGAACAGATTGCTTCAAATTCTTATTTCAAGGAGAATGCAAGTAGTTGGATAAAGTTTTTGTGTGGAGAAAGTGAGACGTGCACTTGATAAAACATCTGATGGATTGTAAAAATTGTGTGCATTTAGGAGAAGGGAAGCAGGATATATCCTGATGCAGGTCTGTAAATACCCAAAAGTCAAAAGCACCACGCCAAGAATCTGAAATGGATTTTAAAGACTATGGGGATATATGCAGACAACTAGGTCAAGTTCGAAAACACATCACAAAAGACCCTTGGGATGGTATTTGACAGGAAATGCACTAGAGTACAAGGAAATAAATAACTGACATAAGTTCAGCTTGTTGTTCACTGCAGCTACAGGAACTCAACTTCCAGATATATTATGAATGATAAGCTAAATAAAACAGGGCTGTATGCAAGAAAATGCATGATTTGTGTTCCACTAATTTGGGCTGCAAAATGTGCCCATTTGTAATTGAGCAGAGATCATCTTGAGTACTATGGACTGGTACCAAGTTTTCTTTACTGATGAGTCTTGTTTTTGTCTGGAGTGGTTCCAGACATGCTACTGTTCAAATGCACTAGGATGATGATTTGCATCATTGTGATACTTATGTAGCACTCTTTAGGAGCTTCAAGGGGCTGTTAATTTTGCATGTACTGTGTATTCCGGCATATAACGAGCACATATAATTTCAAACTACAATTTTTAATTTTTAGGTATATTCATCATATAACATCATGCACCATTTTCTTTACGAAGAAACCTCAATGATACTTGTGCACTTTCGAAGTCACTCATTCAAAGATTTTTCTCAGGCATTCAAATAATGATATATTGAATCGACAAGCGAGAAGGGGAAATGCTTGAGGGAGTAAATAATTCTGTGAAGAAAGTAAGTTGTATTCAATGCAAATGTACACAAAAATGTTATTCTGGGGTTTCAAGAAAAGCGCAGGACATAATTTTGAGAAGAACAGCCCTATTGACCCGAATAAATTCTCATAATTAGGAGTCAGATGTTTTCTCTTTCTGTAGTCATTTGAAGCCAGAATTTTGAAGTGAACATCGAAGGCTTTAGTACACATTTGCATTAGCTGAAATACAGTTGTTTAAGTGTTCCTTTTAGTATGGTAAATATGGCTCCTTGCAAACAAAATAGCACAGTGCTGGTTTTAAATATGAAGTCATTCAGTTTATGGAAGAAAATGGAAAGCAAGAACGTTTAATGTTGGTGAAAGAGGGAGCGGATGATGATTATTTATATATGGATCAGAGTGACAATGACAGTGAAGGTGAAACAAAATTTGATAATGTAGAGAAAATAATGAATATGTTAAAAATAAACCTTAACTAAGCAAGAAAGTTTAATAGTGCTTAAAATGAAAACCTTATGACCAAGTAAAGTCCTGGCTTTGAAATTTGGTTTAAAAAAGCAGTAGAAAATGAAGGATTTATAAGTAATTTTCATCTTCTAATTGGCAGCATGTCTAGCTGGCAATCTAGAGTTCAAATTCTAGGAAGAGTGCATTTTACTTCCTACGGTGTCTTGGCATCCAAAAGTGTTATGTAGTCTCACTGGCACCTGAAAATAAATGTGATGGATGATAATTATAATTTTGCCATCACCATGATCTGACTGACTTTATTTCACTTCCCAGGCTCTAGTCATGCTTTAAATTGGGATAAATGTAAGCAATTTTTACCTTCCTCACCATATGTTCTCATGGTTAAGTGGTACCATGTTTGGCTAGCAGTCGGAAGATTTTTAAGTTTGAATCCCAGCAAGTGCATAGCTCTGAAAAAACTTAGTAACCCTAGAAACCTAACAAATTGAGGTGGAGGATGATTCATTGTCAGGGATTTGGCGAGCTGTGTCTCATCCCTTTCCTAAGTTTTTTCTTAAGTGGGGGGAAAATATAAGAAATTACCATCTTCTCCTGTGCATGCTCTTGTAATGTAACTGATAGCATATTCAGCTAGCAGTTGGAAGATAAAGTTTGAAGTCTGATGAGGGCATAGATAATTTTGCTCATCTCTTATTCTGAATAACCCAGTAGCTCTACACAATAGTTAAATTGAACAAGAAAGTATATTTCTGTAGGGTTAAGATGCAGATTATTAAAAATTTATAGAAGTGAGAAAAAATTTCAAGGAAAGAGAACATTTTAAAAATAAATTGCAACATGAAACTTGATTTAGTTCTAAAGTTAATAAAATATATTTTGTATTTCTCTATTTCTGAAGTGCACATTTCCTCCATATGAATGTCTCTCAAAACAGTATTTATCTTAGAATCGACATAGAATTAAAGCTTTTTTTTTAAATTTTCACATGCCTTATGCAACATGTAAAGCCTTTGTTTTATTCTTATGCACTTAAATTTATCGTCATTGCTTCCTTTGGATATAAAGGTGTTATGGGATAGCTAAAATAAAAATGGCTCGCACACGAAAGGAGAAAATTCTGAATACCAATAAACTCTAAGACTGAAGAAGTAATGAATAGCATATTGATTAGGTAATAGTTAATTAAACTATTATACTAGTGTTATTGCACCAGAAATTCTTATAAATATAATTTTGAGTATTGTTACGTACATGTGGCTTCATAATGGATTGAATGCACACAGAACCGATGGTAGTTTGATGGAATTTACTTTCCCCAAACAAACACTTTTTACAGTTCTGGAACTTTTCACAGAAATACTTGTACATATCTTCTCAGTATGACAACACAAACAGTAGTTACTACTTCAAACTACAAAGAACATTAAACACAAGACAATATAAAAGGCCTGAAATGTGTTAAGTTCACATAGTTATCTATCAATACTGAGTTAGATTCTGGCGAGATGGCCATGTGCCTCAGTGTACCTGCCTGTGTAACGTTATTTTTCTGGTGAAGCTTCATATTCTTGAGATTTTTCATGTTATATTTATACAAGAGATACTAAAAATTTACACTTAATTTCACTAAAATGATTTACATATATAAAAAATTCATAGCAGTATATTTTAGCATTTTATTGCATTTATATTATTTTTTTAATATCCTTTTCTTCTGTGGAACTGTACTGAAATTAAGGAGTGGATTTTAATGGATAGCATCTTAGAATTGTTTAAGTCAGGATTATGAGAGTTCAAAGTTGCATAAAGTGTGTATATGTAGAAGGGGGGGGAGAATATGATGATTTTGCATATTTAATAATCTTGGTTTTAAGTAAATAAACAAATGTGTTAACAAAGTTAGTTTTTAAAGTGACACATGTAAGTTTACAAGTTCAGTCATTATTTTGAATTTCATTCTGTTATAATTTTATGTTTATCTTATAAAGGTATTTTTCTAGAAATTATAGCCTCTTAATTGTTTCATAAAACAATTCTTGCTTACATTCTTAACTGCATCCTTTAGGAATGTACGAGTACTTCAGTTTATTTATAACTGTTTTCATTTGGATAAATACACTAACTGCCTGAGAAAATGATACATCAGGAAAAAGTAAATACATTGTTTTGCATATTTTTGTGAAAGTGCACATGATAAACTTGCAGTTTATGAGCATATAAACAGCATCCAAAGGCATCATTTTTGATAGTATCATGGCTCTCATATGTGATTTTTTTTCTGCTGTTTCTGCTCGTGAACAAATAAAGTAATGCCTTTAAGGTGTAATCACAGTGTCAACAAATGAATAAATTCACAAAGAGCTCTATAATGCTGAATGGTCCTTCTGCTGTATTGTGGAATAACAGGTTGATGCTGTGGGCTGCATTTGGTGGCAATTGAAACTAGAAAGAAATATGTAGGGCTGTATGTAAGCTGCCCAGAGCAATGAAACAAGCGTCATAACATATGACATCACTTGTACATGACACATGGTTCACGACTGGAAATACTTTGTTAAGTGTGCAGAATGTTTCCACCACACAAATATCAACACTTACAATTTCACTATGATTAGCTGAAGCAAATTTAGTGTCCTGCAAATCATTGTGATTTAATTTCATTGTTAGCAAGCCATCATTTTGCATGTTTGCAGTGGTGTCACAGCAGAATGAAGCCTTTACCATTTTCAAATGATACATATCCCATCATTGTGGAATAATGGTGTGGGCTGCCATTAGTGTTGATGAGTATTTATTTCGAATGCACATTACAGGCATATTAATAAGATAACAGACAATGCTCATAGGTGCTCTCTTGGCCAACACAATCACCGGTCTCTCATCAGCTGGGCACTTGTGGAATATGGTTACACATCGATAGAATATTTTCCTTCTTCTGCAGAACAAAATGAGCCATGGGATTATATCACTAAACTATGATGCCACAGGACATGATTTAGATGCTCATTGCTTTAATGCAGTGATGTATTCAGGAAAATACTGGAGCTGTAGCATCTTTTCTTTTTGATTCCCTATATATCTAAGTGTTTTATTAACCCAAAGGAGCATTAGCTCAGAAGGGCTATTAGTCTCGAAATGGAATTTCACTGTAAAAGGCTGAATTAGTTTTCAAATTGTTGCCACCAAATTTTATTGCCCTGTAATTTTAAAAGAAATTAAATAAAGGAGAATGTGCATGAATGTAGGTATATTTCTCACATTGTGAAAAAAGAATGGTATATAAAGCCATAAGATTTGAATAATGTAATCTTCCACCCGAACATAGGCACCTGGAATCCCGAATTTTGGATTTCGAGTTTGTTTATTAGCAATTTCACATTTTGTAAAACTTTAAAGAATTTTTGATTAACAAACTCAACAATTTCAAAGCGAACAGTGGCTACACTGTATGGGGTGGGGAAATCTCCAGTGAGTGAGACGTCTATCAGAAATTCTAATGATATGTTGTTTTTAAATATTTTGTCATATTGCTGTTGAATTGAATTTTATGTGGTTCAAGTGTAAAGAAGATGATATTTAATAAATAAAAGTAACACATAAAACATTACAAAAAAGCCCCTTTGTGTGTAAGATAAAATCTAAAGGCTTTCAGATTTTTTTATCTTTTTTTATTAAAAGTGTGTGAAAATTAAATCATTTGTCCTTAATTATATATATATATGTGTGTATGTATATATTAATCGTTAATTATATATATATATATATATATATATGTAAAGCTAACTCTGTTTCCAGTCATTCTGTACCACTGTACTTGAATTATGCAGTTGTTATTGTATATCTGAAATTTAGTTAACTAGTTTCTGAAAATAATCATAAAGACCTAATTCTATTTTTTATACTAATATATACACATATATGAAATGACTAAATAATTTTTGAAAAGTCTAGATTACTTCTTTCAGAGGGAATATAAAAATTTATTATTTATATGATTAAAAATTATCAAGTCATTATTATCAAAATCCCATGCATCAAGTAACTTTATACTTCTTTTCTTTCTAAAAAGAGAGAGCAGATGAAAAAAGGTGGTGCTGTTTTACCACCTGTTGTTGATCTGAAATCTAGAAAAGATGATGTAGATGAAATGCAGACTCCTATTCTTGGTCTGGGACCAAAGGTAATGTAACATGTTTATGTAAATGAATGATATATTAAATAAATTTAATACAAAGCATAGCTTTTAAAATTACCTAAAATTTATATCTTATAAAAAATTCAAATAAACTTATATGTTTTAAGAAACTAGGTTACTGATTTGTATTGTCATTTTAAGATGTATATTTCTAGCATATACGTAAATTATTTGAAAATCAGTATTTTTGAACTAATATTATCATCATTTATTATGTGAATTATGCTGTGTAAGATAGTATTATAATATGATAAAAATGTGGCAATAGATTCTGTTTTTCAGGAAATTCATATAACTAGCTCCATATATTAACGTGCATTCCGTATAATGAAGTCATTATCAATTTATTCTATATTGATGCATTAGTTTCTTGAATTGAAGTAAAAATAATCAGTAGCTGATTACCTTATGTTAACTATCCTATTAAGAGACTATACAAAAATTCTTTTGGAAAAAGGGCTATTCTTACTATTAATTGTAGCGAAAAGTTCAAGTCTGTAATTATAATTTTATGATTTCTCGAACAGACCTCAGAGCAGCTTCTTTTTTCTCCTCTGATAAGTGATTGTTCTTTATATATATTACAGGAAAGCAAAGGGAATACTACATTGTTAGGTGGTGATTGGGATATTCGTCAAGAGTACGAACCTTTATGGCCAAATGATTATGAAAAAATTATGAGAGACAGAGCTGATAGAGAAAAAAGAATTAGAGATCGTGAAAGGGATCGAGAAAGGGACAGAGATAGAGATAGAGATAGAGACAGAGACTATGACAGAGATTATAATGATGAAAAACCAAGCAGACGAAATGACAGGTAAGTTGGCACCTTTCGGATAAGAAAATTTTTTAATGGAACATAAGAGTAAAATATTTTATTTATGTTAATTTCATTAAAAATATTTCTAAATTTATGTAAAATTTCAATTGTATAATTTCAGTCTTTTGAAATTGTGGCATTATTTATTAATAACAACATTTAAGTTATTAATAACAACCAATGTAAAATTATTGAATAAAGTTTAGCACTGTATTCATAATTTTGTTATAATTTTTTAAATGTAATGTATTATTTCATGTTATTGCTTACAGTGTAATTATAACTTAAAATAATTAGTATGTAATTCTTTGACCACATTTCATAATCAAATACTTTGATAGAGTCATTTTACTTATTCTCATTACTTATTCTTATTCTCATTATAGTCATTTTACTTATTCTCTCCTTTCCCCTCCTCAACAAAGTTCTTTACGTACGAATTTTCTGATCTAAATTGTTCCTTCTTTAAAATAGTCGTTATGTTTTGTTTATCTGCTCCCCCACTGAAATGTTGTAGACTCTTAGGCAACTAATTTTTCAGCAAGCTAATGCACAAAAAGCTACAGCCATTTCGAAATTGGTACTGCACTAAGAATTTCATATGAGAGCAGTTAATCAATCAAATTAAAGAAAGCAAGAAATATCAGTACTAATACACCTACCTTTTTTAAGAAATATTTCCTTTTTGTGTTTTTTTTTTTTTTTCCCCACATAGCCAGTGATCTGTTTTCACATTAAAAAGAAAATCGGAGAATTGCAAAAACTTTTGCCTTGCGCATCGGCCAAAAGAGAAGACATGCACGTGCAGTGCTTAAATTGCGCCGTAGCCCACTGGAACTCGGCTCCGGTGCTTCTCAATTTTTAAGATAAATTACAATTTTAGCCGGTACTTCTTTTTATAAAACTGAATCACAATTTAAAGGGAACAAAATTTAGAATTCCTAACGTTTTAGTTTAACAATAAGCAGACTTTGCAATACTCTATTTCCCTAGAAATACGAACTCATGAGAACATGAGACGTTCAAGTAAAGTCCCCTCACTCGCATGCGGAAACCTTTCCCTTTAAAAAAAGCAATAAATTTAGGGGAGTTTGTTTAGGAACGCCTAAATTTCTTGCCATGCCATTGTATCTAGCGTATTGTTTATCGATGCTTACAGTTAGTTATCCTCGCAGACAGTGACAGCGAGTAGAATAAGGGGGAAATACTGAGATAAACTGCTCAAGCACGTTCTATACATCGCCTTCCCACAGTATCCACTAATGAGGGGTAAGGGTAACCAGCAACTTTACATTTAGGAGTCCGATTCAAGACTCATTTACCCCTGACACCCATCTGCTTGATGGCTATAATTATATTAACAGAGAGCCGCGGTCAAAGAGAACATTCTCTCTCACCAAGATTCCCCTCATTTTTTATTTCCACCCACTCATACCCTCATTCTGTTTCGCTTTGGAATTTTCATTAGCTATACTTTAAGTATATTTAATTTTTGTGATGATAAAAGAACTTCCCCCTCCCCTACGATCAGAACTGAAATTGGTCCGGAACCCACCGGATTTCGGTTCCGATGCTTCTTAGTTTTGTAATAAATTATAATTCTTGCCGGAACGCACCGGAGCCCTGAATAAGAAGGCTGCCGCACTTCTTTTATGTAGTTAAATAACAATTTCAGTAGAAATTTTATCTTGAAAATTTTATTTTAACAATAAAATTATATTAAAAATCGCGTATTAAATATCAATTAATCTCTTTACATTTTATTTAATTTTAATTAGTTAATTACTTCAATCTTTAATTATTTCAATAAATAATAATTAATTATCTAATAATCAATTAAATCATAATTAATTAATTATCTAATAATTATCAATTAAATTATAATTAATCAATTATATAATACTTATTGATTAAATAACAATTTATAAACATTAATTAAATAGCTATTAATTAATTTGATAATAATTAACACTTAATTTTAAAATTATTAAAGAGTTTAACAGTAATTTTATTTATATATTTACTCTTGTTCCTCTCTGCTGACGGTCTTCCATAGGGCTACGGCACTTCTAATCTTAGAAATTAAGCCCTGGCTACATGCATATCTGGGTTGCCACATAAATACTTTTTGATGAGATAATGGGTTGCCATGTAACTATTTTGGCGACACAGTGCTTTGTCTCAAAGCGTTTTTGCGACTTTTCGGCAGAGGGTCTGTAGGTAATCAGAAAGTACCATATTTTTGTGCCATTTTATATAACTGAAATTATGATTAATTTTTTTAACTAATCATATTTATAATTTTTTAATTAATCCTTAAAGTCCTATTTTTGTTCATCACAGTTTATTATAATTTATAAAAACCAATATGTTATAAAAGCAAAGATGTAATATTTTTTGAAGAATGGGTATACAAGTTGATCTAGAAGTTCCTGTTCACTAGCTCTATGGTTATGTGTAGTATGCAGTATCAAGAGTATACAGATATTAAAGACCATGACTAAGCTGTATGATTAGTTAGATAGTTCAAAATTCTGTGTAGAATGTGTGGAACATCAGTACCGGTAATTCTGAAAACAATGACACAATTTTGTTATGACATTTTTCATATTTGTTCTAGTGACATATTTATTCTGACTGCCAAAGGAAAGAATTATTGTATTATGTATACAGTCAAAAGTCGTTAATCCGGACTCGTCGGGACTTCGGCGATTCCGGATAATCGATTTTTCCGGATTATAGATCATCAGTTTAAATCTCGTAAGATGGCATGCAGAAATTCTAAAATTAAAAGTATGAAACCGTAATTTATGAAATAAAGAACAATTATGATCTAAAGCATATCAAAATTTACAAAAAAAAAAAAAAAAAAAAAAAAAGAGCTTAATATTTATTTGTTTACTTTATTAAACATTTCTTTCAATGTAAGTTGTTTAAGTTGCTTTGTTTTATGTGATAACACTTTCTCTTTAATTCTATAAACAGACATAATTTTGTGTTCAGTTACAAAGTTCCGCTGTTCAAGTCCCGTAATTGCTGTGCCGAGAATACCAACTAACTTGTCAATCGAAATTTTTTCGTTTTCACTAACCTCTCTGTCACCTTCTTCATGTCTTTATCCATTTTTTGCAGCAATTCCACATTTTATTTATTGGACATCGGAACATACTTTCGTTTTGTAGATCCTTTGGGAGCACCAGCATCGGAAATTCTATTTGACAAAATCGAAAGTTCAAGTTTACTTTTATAAAATTGCTCTAACAGTCTGCAAAAAATAATAAGCCTGATCTACTTCGAAGATTAAGGAACAACGCAATCAACATTAACTGAAATAGATAATTACATAATTTTAGCTTATACCATCCGTTATACATTAAACACGCACGCGAAAACGTATTCTGCGCTTGCGCACACGCATATGTGCAGTCGTAAAGGTCTAAATGTTGGCTTTAGTTTTCCACATGCAAATTTTGATCGAAGGTCGATCGGTGGTAAGCTAACGTGGTTGCCGCTGATTGGCCGATGACATCAAGATTGGCAGGTTGGCCGAGTATAATATATATGTACGCCGGTATCGGCGAATCGTGTTTTTTTTTTTTTTTTTTTTTTTTTTTTTTTTGCTCTCTTGTGTGATTATCAGTTAGCATTTTGCTAGTTTGCTTTCAATCAAATGATTTTAAAATGTAAAGTAATGTTTAAAATGTATTACCTCTTTTATTTTATTTATGGAATAAAGCAAGAATTTTATTTAGTTTAGTCTTAGCTTTATTTAAGGGAAGCAAAACATGCTTTGCCTTTATCACCACTGACAACAGGGTTATGGGCCCAGTGCCAACAGCTAATCAGTCATCCAGTTCAACTCAGCATTGAAGGAATGTAGGTGAAGAGGGCCATTATCCACGAAAAGAAGCTGACCTGTCTTAGAAGTTTGTTCAAGTCGTTGTGCTCACACTTAATTGAAGATGTCATTACTACCTGAAGGTTTTGAGTTGTTAAACCATGACAACTGGGATCGATGGAAAGTCGACATGAAAATGCTGTTACTGGATAGAAATTGTTGGAGCTTCATAGAGGACAAAGAAGAAGAATTAGATAAAAGTGCAACAAGGCGTGAAAAGCAGGAGTTCACACTGAGGGAGAACAGAGCCTTCACTACATTATATTACGGAATTAAAACTGAGTTCAGGCCGCTGATACAAGAATGTTCAAGTGGTAAAGAAGCGTGGGAAGTTCTACAGAAGCAATTCGAACCCAAAACAAGAGCAAGGATAATTCAGTTACTGGATGAATTTTTTAGTATTAGATATACGCCAAATGAAGAAATAGGATTATTTATTCATCGCAAGAATAAGAATGACTACAAAGAAGTTGGCTGAAGCTGGTCACAACTTGGCAGATCTTTTTAAAGGATTCCAGGCAATAAGGAGATTACCCCAGGAATACTCCGGCATTGTACAGTTGATCTATAGGTGGAAGGACGAAGATTTTATGCTGGAAAGAATTGCTGAAGAGCTGGTAAGGGAAGAAAGCCGACTTCGCCAGGTAATTGCCGATTTAGAAGACAGCAAGGTAAGCGTGTTTAATACTATTAGTTTAAACGCAGGGAAAGATAAAGTTGAAAATAAAATTAAATCTAAGAAAAAAATGGGGAATATGAGAATAGGTCCATGTTTCAGATGTCATAAACTTGGGCACTTAATTGCTCAATGTAAAGAAAATGTAAGTAAAAATCAGAAGTTTAAAATAGACGATAAAAATGGACAGTTTAAAGATAAAGAATTAATGTTAGTAGAAAATTATGTAACAACTACAGATAAAGGAGGTAACGCAGATAAATTTAATTGGGTCGTAGATACTGCAGCTACAACTCATTTCTGTAATAATAGAAATTTAATGACAAATTTCGAAGAAATAAACGATATACGTATGTCTTTAGCTGTAGGAAATTGTGAAAGTAAAGTACTATTAAAGGGTACTGTCAAATTTGCAGTAAAAGTAGGCAATCGAATAAATTGGATTGAGTTAGATAATGTGTTATATAATCCAAATCTAAGAAGAAATTTATTATCGGGAGCAAGGTTAGAAAAGGCTGGTGCTCATTTTGTGATTTCAAAAGGGAAGATGTGGATATACTTT